CCCCCCCCCCCCCCCCCCCCCAGAGCCCATTAAACTATGAGTACCTATTCATACGTTTGGAGACCTGCCGTCATCCAACTTCTCATTAACCATCCCTGATATGTTAGAAAATGAAGCAAAAATACATATGTATATAATTGGTGGACAGCCCACCCTCTAAACCCTCTGATTTGCTGATTCTTCAAAGCTAAAAAAGTATGACTGGTAGATAGCCCACCCTCGAAAATCTATGATTCGCTTATTCGTCATGCTGAAAGTATAAGTTTGTAATTTGATATTTTTTTGATCCTACAGAATCCTTTTTTGACTCCGTACAAACAAACAAACCCACAAACTATTTTAATTCGTATGACCCTCCCTTCAGTCGAGGGAATAATTTTTGAGCAATAAGAAAACTATCTTTGAGCAATTTTATAATATTAAATGTGCAATAATTAATTGATTAAATAACAGTAGTAATTTCATATTTTAGCAACAAGAAAAAGGAAAAGTAGGATATTTTTATTTACAATGGACAATAAAAAAAAGAAAAATGAAAAATGAAAAATGAATACATTATTGTGTCAATAAAGCTTTTTTTGCTTCAGCTGGTCTTCCTCTTTTCTTTTAGTATTAATATCCACATCTTTTGCCTCTGGTGAGGGTTTGCACCCTCACCCTGTTATCAAGAGACTAGTTTCATATCATTGTCACTTTCACTGTCAGAAATATACTGCGTTACGCGTTGTGATTGAGCCATTTATATAAATTATATATTTTATTTTATAAGATTGAAAAAATACGATTTGTATAAATAAATTCTTAACGTAAGAATTTTCTCATCCACTGTATTAGAATTGTCCTATTGAACATCTTGAAAATTTTCTTATGATTATCTTACACTATATAAGGGATTTTTCCAACATTTGATATTTATGTAATATATATCAATGTTCTCGTCTATGGGAGAACAGCTTTAAATTCTATTGTCTTCTCAATCTCATTTGTTTTTCTACATTTTTTCTCATATACCATGTTTCAAGGGTACGAAATCAATCAAGCTCACGTAAACACATAACAGTATAAACCATACAATTTACATAAATGAATTCGTATTGCCCTTTTTATGTGAAATTTATCTTTAATTTAAATAAACTATTGCTCATTCAGTATAGTTATTGCTGATTCAATATAATTATTGCTCATTCAATATAATTATTGTTGAATCTAATTATTGCTCATTTCAATTATTTCATCGCTCAATTAAATATAAATCTTTTTTTTTATGAATAAATATTTGAAATTTCGAGAACTTTTTAACTGACTTATGTAAAAGATTTATACTAGTCTGGAATAAATGTACAACTAATGAATCTTAGGCTGTCGATTTCTTTTTTGTCTCATGCTACGTCTGTAATTCCTTTTTTTTTACAATTTGTGTTTTTTTATTAGGATCAATCAATTCAAATAACTAAAACTACTTTTGATATCATAGAACTGAGTTGAGTTGAAAAATAAATTATTTTCTAAATCAAAACAAAAACTATCCAATAAATTCATAGTTTAAGAGGAAATATTATTGGTAAGTTTTCTAAGATAAACACATTAATAAAATGAAAAGAGAAAAATAATGCTAAATTAAATGTTGAAGTACACA